AAAAAAAAAAAAAAAAAAAAAAAACAAAAACAAAAACAAAACAGCAAAAATAACAACAATAATTTTCTGGTAGCAAACTTTGTAACCACTGGAATTCCAATGCTGAAAAATCAGTCTACCCATTCTACGGATAAGTACTTTATACACGTACATAAGTTTGCATCAAGAGAATATAAGTTTTCATGGATTAGGGATGGAGGAAGGTATCTAAGAGTCCTTGAGTCTTCTACCATTGGCGCTTCTCAGGTAGCCTGCAAGGCAGGTTTCTTGTGGGTTTGGGGAAAAACCGGGGTTTTGGGGGAACTTTGGTCCCATTTTTCTCGCGGGCAAGAAGTCAAAACAGGAACCCCAAAACCCCGTTCTTCCTCAAACCCATCACAAGAACGCCTGGTCTGTAGGCTTTTTCCTGATCGTGCTCTTATCATTTTTTAGAAACTAAAAATTTTTTACTTGTAAATTCTCTGTTACATGGCTGTTCCATACACCTAATCGAAAAATGGGTCCAATTTGAAAACTATTGTTCTGCACCAACTAGCGACTGACACTAGCCTCGTTTTCACGTAGGAACACAAAAGCCTTTTCACATGTATGAGCTAGAGACTAGTCATGATCAGTCGCTGGTCACTGCAGAACGATAGTTATTCAAATTGGACGCTATTTTTTTCGATTAGGTGTATTCCTTTGAGTTTTTACATAGTAACGTGACATGCTTTTGTGACATCGACTAAAGAGCGTGCGTGACACTTAACCTTAATTGTTATCGTTATTTATTTGAGACTTTGGTCACTTCATCGATGAACAAAACTGACGGCTTGATCAGCAATGAAGGTTCTTGCGGTACTATTTCTAGCTATCGTAGCTTTAAACCATACATTTGCAGCCAAATTTGCGATGTTACCACAGTTTGGACATAGTCATTACCTGGTCATGTCCAAACTTGCTAAAGAACTGCTTTCCCGTGGTCACCAAGTAAGTTTTATTTTATCAGGCCAGGCATATCATACAGGACATTTGCAGTAAATGATTACATAACTGTTGCTGAATATCGATGGCAAAAGATCGAGTTTCCTCATAATTTTTCCTGGATAACTAATGTTATTTCTTTTGCCGCGGTCCTTATAACATACTATCGATTTTAGGTTACAAAGCAATTTAAAGTTTGCTTGCCATCGCCAGCATGCAGAGCGCATGGACCGCTTTGGTTGATTGATTCGTTATGAAATAATATATATCAGCACGTGACCGTTTGTTGCAAATGGCCAATAATAACAGGTGATTACAACGGCAGTCGACTGATTTGTCAAGTTACTGCCTAACTCTTTCCTTCAAGACCTCAAACTTCAGTAGCATCGTGGAAATGTTTTAGTAACTATGGAACGAAAGCAAGCTTTTGTTTGGCTTCGATCGCTACAAGACGCTTGGCTCTTTTCTTGCGTAATCGAGGAAACTCTGGGCACTAATTTCATACTTTTTTACTAGCAAGGATTATATTTTTTTCTGCAAGCTCATTGTTGATAAGGGAGGTGACGAGGGAGGGTTCAACCTTCAGTAATTGCTGGTGTATAATTACTACCATTGAATTGTTGAAGTGCAACCCGCGAAGTTAGAAGTCTGAGTTGAAATTTAAAAAAAAAATCTTAAGTGAGATTTTAGCCTGAATGATTTTACTCCTCTAATCATCTCAAATCTTTTTAAAATTCCGTCCAAAATTTCCTTCAAAATATTGCTTTCTTATTTCAGTTTTTTGATTGACAGTTGTTGAAATGCTAGTCGGCAAACGATACATCAAACTTCGAGGCTCGCACTTCATCGATAATGGTAGTAACAGCGCATGCACACCCCGAGCATTCTTGCTACAACCATAGGACTAACGGCTTAATTTTTTAGGTTAGCATTCTCCTTGGCGAGGAAGCTGTGTATGCCATTGGTAAACCAAATGTGAAGACGTTCAAAATGAACGAAGAAGATAAAAAAAAGAACGACGAACTTGTGGAGAAGATAACGAAAAACAAAAGTGGAAATTTCTTGGTCGAAGTGTCAGCTTTGTTCGAGATCCAGAGAAATTATTGCGACGTGTTTCTTAGCAACGAAGAAATGCTTGACGAGGTGAAAAACTCAGATGTCCTAATTGGAGATGCTCTGTATCCATGCTCGCCGCTTGTTGCAGACAAGTTCGACATCCCACACGTGGTAATAAACATGAACTCTTTATCAGCTCCCTTTCAATAACTGTATGGCATATATTCCAATCCTGCATATGTTCCACAGCTCAAGTCTGCTTTGTCTTCGAATAAAATGGGATTTTTGAATAGGATGAAAAATTTCGGATATTTTCTAGTTAATATGTTTGTTGTCAAGACAATTATTTACCCGGTTTATAACGAGTTGAAGTTGAAGCATAATATTAAGCCGCATAAGAGTATCCAGGAATCTATGGCTAAAGTTGAGATGATCTTGCTAGAAAGGGATTTCGTCATGGACAACGCTGAGCCTGTAATGCCATGTAAGCTAAGTGGTGGTCTCTCTTTCATTTGCGCATCTAGTGGTCGTGTTGGCAATAAGATACAGTATATACTCATGATAGCTGTTATTCCAATTGTATTTCTTTGACTTCTTCAGATGTGAGAGAAGTTGGTTCCTTTTTACCAGCCCCCGCGAAACCTCTACCAGCCGAGTTGGAGGAGTTCATGCAGGAGTCTGGTGACCTTGGAGTGATTCTTGTATCGTTTGGTTCAATGGTGGACACCCTGAATGATGACGTTGTCAAAGCAATGAATGATGCGTTTTCTAAAGTTCCTCAGAAGGTTTTGTGGAGGTTGAAACCAGGTAAGAATTGCTACTAGATAATGACTTTATGTAGCATGACTTTGCTCAAGATTTTTGATCGAACGCAGGTTCCCTAAGGTCTATGAAGCAAGGAGAATGTACTATTGAAAGAGCCATGTTTTAAAAAAAATTGAAAAAATTGTTATTAATAACCCCTTTAGATTTCCAAATTTACTTGTGTAATAAATATTTTTTAAATTGGGGAAAAATAGTTCTGAAGGTAGAAAGTGGTGCGTTTAAAACCGCACCAACCGTACTGGTGGGCACAGCCCTGTCTTGTTAAATAGTGACGCAAGGAATTTTAAACCTTGTGACATGTCAACTGGGCTTCACTCGAGTGTACTACGTTTTCCCCTTGATATTAATTACRTAAAGCCCCGTAGGATACGTTATCCTTCACCAGATTCCACCAAGATGCATGACCATGCTCGTATGTACATTGTTTTCTACAAATCAGGTGGGTGCACAGGGAATGGAGCTTTGAACTTTGTCTAAACTACGAGAACCGGTATAATATATGCATCCCCCTTGGTTAGGGCCATGCAAATGACCCTTAATCGTGAGACAAATGAATGTATCATTTATGAAAATAACTTTTTGTTTTTTCCTTTGCGGTTTTTTCGCCACACAGGTTCAATTAACCTGTCACCAAACATCAAGACAGTTGACTGGCTTCCGCAGAATGACATTCTTGGTCACGAAAAGACCAAGTTATTTATCACTCATGCTGGTGCTAATGGTCTAGCTGAGGCAGCCTATCACGGTGTCCCAATGATCTGCACTCCCTTCTTCGGTGACCAGTTAGAAAATGCTCAGTTTGCTAACGATGCTGGCATTGCAGAAATCTTGAGTGTTAAAGAGGCTACCTCTGAACAGCTTGTCAGTCTTCTTACCAAAATGATGAATGCAAAAAGGTAAAAATTGGGTTTTGGTGGGCATCAATAAAAGTCTAAAACTTCTTTTTGGTTCGGTTTTGGACATTGTAAAATAGACGTCTTAGTAATAAAACTTCGTTATTTTGGTCGAAGATAAGTTTATTTTACAAATAATCAAAGTGTTTTCATGACATTGCCAAAAACACAAACTTTTTAAGGGCATGTATCTATATATAGAAACACCTCGATTGATGTTCACCAAAACCTACTTTAACTTTGTGTCAATTCTGCGCCTGTAAAATTAAGTATCATATCACAAAGAGAGAGAAATGTTATTTCTTTTATTTCATTCTCAGTTCATATAGCCTGCATGCAGCCGGACTTCAGACTGTTCTCTCTTTACAGTTAGTTAGTTCGACTGCACGCAGGCTACAGTTCATAATTCCAGAACTTTTGTTATATATTTCAGTTACAAGGAAAAGGCATCTCACATATCGAAAGCAATGAAGATGCGTCCTCGCTCCCCAGAAAAGGAAGCAGCAGACATAATAGAATATGTCCAAGCTCTGAAAAACCTCGATCATCTAAAGCCAAGGGGTCTTAATCTACCATTTTATCAGCTGTACATGCTGGATGTGATTTTTGTATTACTAATGGCCATAGTGTTAGTGTTGGCTTCCTTGAAGGCATTGGCCGGTCTTGTGGTGAAGATGTGCTGTAGTGGTGGCACCAAGAAGGCTAAAATGTCTTAATCAAATGTTGCCAAGTTCTATTTTAACTTTGATTCATTTGGAATTTCTAACAAATCATTTTAGAGTATTAATTTCTCACAAAGTTTGATTTTTAATTGTATGACCTATACATTTATCCCATGTACCATGAAAAGATGGCTAGGATTTTCACTATTTCTTCCATTCATGGAGCAGTAATTTGACATGGAAAAACCTATCACATGTACTAAAAGGCTTATCATGGGGTCTAAAATAGGAAAAGATTACACCCAAACTAGATGGTCTTGTTTAGAAATCAAATCACGTTTTTTTTGTAACATGATTTTAGAAGCTCTGTCACACTTATCTGAGACAGCAATTTTAAGCTGTGACCCAATTACAGTGCTTATTTCAATCAAGTACGAAATTGTACAATTTTCGATTGTGATGATGTGATTTGGATGGATGTCAATAAAGAGGTTTCCATGACATTTCATATGCATTACCCCTGAAACCCATCTTTGTTTTCCGATTTTGTCTTATGGAAACACTTTGATTGACATCCTTCAAAACCTTATTTTGTCATGATATAAAATTGTATGATTTCATGCATGTGATTGAAGTGCTGTAAGCCTTTTATGGTCAGAGCCAATATAATTGTCACTTTCATTTAGATACTCGCACCAGCTGTCAATCAATATAATTGACCAATCGGAGACCTGGGATGATATTGCCAAAAATTTTCTAAACCAGGTTGATCACTATCTTTATCTTAAGGTCTTTATCAGTATCCAGTCTCATCATCTTTACCAAAACTAATATTCTGTAGTTCTTGCAGCCCTCCTAATACCACTTTCATATGAGCTTTGATTTTCGCAGCATCTTTACAAAGTCTTTTAGCAGTGGAGTTCAAAATCCCACACTTCTTTTCAATAAAATTTAATGCTTCATCAAAGGTAAACTGAACGTAGAATCCAAAACCAACTGCGACATAAATCATCGACGTATCTGCAACCTCAGCTTCGCAATAAAAATTCGTCCCCAAGTCCACCGTAGTTTTCAATTTCTCTCCTTTAGGATGTGAATTCTGAAGCTGTTTTATAGTAGTTTTCAGCTGGGTATATTCATTGATTTTTGTATATACGTCCTCTTGTGCTTTATATACCGCTTCCAAGTCTTTTCTTAGCCTTTTATCGATAAATTCTTCGTATTTTAGCACTTTTTCTTGGATGTCTGATTTCTCTTCACTTGCGTCCGCCATCTTGGATATTACTAGTCCCCTTCGCAGTATTTATTGTAGAGTAGTGACTGGGTTCTATTCAAGATGGCGACTATAAAATCCCATCATCCCTCGCAGTCATCAACTGCTCATGCGCATTCGGCTTCGGCCGATGTCCGCCAAAATGGCGTTTTCAAAACTCTTCCAAAAAACTTAATTTTTATAAACTTTTGATAAAGCTATTTTTGAAATTCTCGGTCCGTTATAAAGTTAAGTTATCAGTCTTCGAAATGGCGGGCTTTGAGCGCGCTGGGCTACCGGGTTGCGAGTATATTCGACAGACTTTGACTAACTCTGCCGACATGACTGCCGCCATTGAGAATTTTCAGCATGAGAATGGCATCCTTCTTCCCTCACTTCAATCAGCTCTTCCTTTCCTCGATCTACATGGCGTAGGAAGACTGGAATTCCACTCCTCTGTCATGGATCACTTGAGGGAAACCGTTTTGGAGAAGATCAAAACTCTGGATGAGAAAAAATTGAAGGAAATTTTGGAGCAGTCCTTTCCTTTCATTCATGTTCCAGAACTTCAACCAGTTGTCATGGAACTCATGAAATATCTTCCAAAAGTCAGTGATGAATGCCTTGAGCACATTGCTAACGACGCAAAACTATATGAAGATTGTGCTATCGAGGTGAAAAGACAAATCTGGGTCAAACATCATCATTTGTTTGGAGATGCAGTGGGTCCATTGTTGAAACAATACCTAGACATCAAATACAATAATCTCCATTCCACAGATTCCAATTCACCTAGTGACTTTTTCTCTGTCTCCTCAAAAGTTAGACGGCAGCATGACATTGTCCAAAGTCTTGCCAAGATGATCGGCAAGTCTTTACAACTATACAACCTAGTTTTGCAGTTTCTAAGGACATTATTCCTTAGAACCAAAGAGGTACACTATTGTACATTAAGATCTGAGCTTCTCATGGCTGTACACGATCTTGAGGTCAAGGATATCAAAGACGTTGACCCATGTCACAAGTTTACGTGGTGTTTAGATGCTTGTATTAGAGAAAAGAATATTGAGGGAAAAAGGATACGAGAGCTGCATGGGTTTCTGGAGGCAGCCAAGAAGGAAGAGGAACGTGTCATTGGGTAAGAAAGGAAGATCAAATGATATATCACTACATTAGAGCATACTTATTACACTGTAGTAGTCTTGTGTTTTTGGATTTTGTAAACACATCTCCAGGGCTTAAAATAACGGCTAATCAGTCGCATACCTTATTTCTGGCTAAACGTTGCTGGTTACTAGTTACAAGGCAAAGATTTGACTGGATTTTTAGAGTTCCAAATTACCGCTGTGTTTCTTGATTACAGACTCGTTTTCTCAGGCTTAGCCTTGCATCAGTGTCTAATTACTTGCAAATACCAACGGTAAAGTAAAGAATGCACAACTTCAACAATATGAACACTTTGAAACTTGACAGACCTTGACTGGAACACGTGAATATTCTTCACAAAATCGAGGCTAAGCCTGAGTAAATGAGTCTGTAATCAAGAAACACAGCGGTAATTTGGAACTCGAAAAGGGTCTATTGAATTCCCAGTTCTAGTCGGACATTGTCCGATGCCTGGCAGTTATTTTAAGCCCTTATCTCATTATTCCTGTGGAAGAACTAATGTGGAAGAATTAACATGGAAGAAGCTTCCCTTAATTCAAATATGATTGCTACATAAAAAGATATTTTAGACATCTCTCTTATTCAGGATTGAATGTACTTTGTGTGAGTTGGGTTGGAGTGAGCACATTAAATAGCCCTGGACCTGTGGACCTGGATCTCAATATGTTCACCTTAACTTAGAATGAGTCCTCCTAATTACTCCTCTCATCCCATCCAAAAAAAAAAAAAAAACAGATACAGTTACCATTTTTTTGAGTTCTCTATTACCAAGGGTTAGCCTTGGTTTTGTCCAGTTAAATTTTGCTGAATTTCTTAGCATTTTTGTTGTTGAAATTGGGGTTAAAAGGATACTACAGTTTTGCATTTTCTGTTACTCAGGGTTAGCCTCAATTTTGTTAAGATTTTTACATATTCCAGTGAATACCCGTAGAATTTCTTAGCATTTGTTTTTGTTGAAATTGTACATCCGCTACTCTATCATTGATAAGTATCTTTGGATATTCTGATGATGAAATGAGGCTAACTAACTAACCCTGAGGTCTGTAATCAAGGATTACACTTACAAATTTGAAAAGATAATCAGACGACAGAGTAAATTTAAATTAATTATTGATTACTATATTTTCAACACTGCATGATAGTATTTGACGATTAGACCTGAAGCCAAAATGGTCTAATTGGTAATATATACAATATGAGTGGCTGTGTTGTATCAGATATACAACCACGAGCCGAAGACGAATGATTGTATTATTATCTGATACAACACGGACACGAATATTGTATATTACTTATGAAACGTCTAGGTGTATATATTCATGTTCTACTATAATTTTAAAGATAAAATTGAATTTGGCTAAGAAAATTGGAGTTAAAGTTTATGCAAATCAGGACGATTTTGTATCAGATATACAACCTCATCCACAGACAATGGTTTCTATTGTGTTTTCCTCATTAATTATTCATGAATTTTATAATTTAAGTATAACATACTAATTGGTCATATAATTATTACAAACTATTTTAAAATTAGGTTGAAAACAAGAATTAGCTGCCATTTGTTTTGCTTTTCAAAACTGGAACTTTTTACTATTAGTGGTCTATCACTAATACACCACTAGTTGCTTAGCCAATCAGAGTGCAAGGTTTATGATAAACCATTAGACTAATAAAGGTTATTCTATTTATTTCAGTGATATAGCCATGATACTGTGTGATCCATTTGCTATCGACACCATTGCCAAGAGTGTCATAAAACTGCTTCAAAGACTAGCCAACGCTGAATCATTACCAAGAGTAAGTGTCTCTTGCCAACAACTTTTACAGCGCTTCTCAATCACTTGCGCGAAATCATACAATTTGCTGTCGTGACGAAGTAGGTTTTGGTGGACGTCAATCAAGACATTTTCTCAACATTCCATAGGCACATACCCTTGAAAACTTTGTGTTGGTAATGTCATGGAAACACTTTGGTTGACTTCCACCAAAACCTTTTTTTGTCGCGAAAGAATTTTTACAATTTGGCACATGTGCTTGAGACGTTATCTGCAGGACTAAATATAATAGTCTTAGCTTGGTCATACGGTGCTTCTGGCTCAACATTACTGGTCAAAATGACTGGCAAAGCAAAGATTTGACATTGTCCAATGACCTGCCATTATCTTTAGCCCTGTCGCTGTCTGACCATCGTTGTCTCAGGAAAATAACCTTCATTGAATTCTAATATTATACCTATGTATAGTTCAATTACTAACTAATTGGGTGCTGAAAGACTAGTATTAATTAACTTTTTCCTTGGTGGTCAACAGACAAACACTGAGATCAGTTTCTTGCTACGGCTGTTGAGTTTAGGAGTTGGTGCATGGGATAGGATAGAAAAGCAAGCATTCAGGGAGCAACCAGTGGTAATGATTACATTGATTTATGGTCACTGTACTCTTAAGAATATATACTTTACTACGGATGTCAGCGAATTGTCTAACTGAGATAAAAAACATGCCACGATTACGCCTCCATACTTCTATGATTCCACACGCAAACATCAAACTTTTAGTTTACTTTCCTTTCTACCTTCCTTGATAATTTGTGGGAAAGAAAATTATCAAAGGATGCCGACACATGAAGAAAGGAATGCAAGACTAAAAGTTTAATGTTTGTGTGTGGAATCTGGAATCCTAGACATTTGAGGCATGACTGTGGTGTGTTTTTTTTGTCTCAGTTCGGCAGTTTGCTGACATCCGTACTACTTCATACTACTTCAGCTTCTACTTCAGCAGCAGAATTTCATATCGGGAGGGAGGAGGGAGGGAGGGAGAAATGATTTAATGATTTTGGATGGGGAGGAGTGAGTCATTGCTTTAAAAAATATCAGTTATATACATGTGTATATGTCTTCTAGTCATGCCCCACCTACTACCATTCAGACAATACGCCCCCCCTTTAAATCAGATTTTTTGGCACCCCTTCTAAATATTTTCAAAATAAGTTCACTGTTAGCCAAAGTTCTTGCTTCTAGCCTGTAATTATATTGCCAAAAATTGGCCTCAATCAGGTTGATTTTACAGGACCTTTTTTTTCCTGTTTTTGTTTTCATGAACAGTTGAGTACCTAGGGCTGGTACTGCTCCTGGAATTTTAATATTTTCTTCCAGGGCCCTGAAGAAAAAAAACTGGAAAATTTTCTATTTTTTCTGCCAACTGAATCCTGGAATTAATATTCCTGTAACCAGGAAAATTCCTGGGTTTTCATCATGGGCGTTAACATACAACCCTGTAGGTTATTGTAACCTACACTCATTGATAAAAATGTTCATTGTAACCTATACTTATTGATGAAATATGTTACTTTTTCATAGAATCCAGATCTTGCTGGGAAGTTTCTTCCATTTATCATGTCTTTGATGGTTGATAGCTCTCTACGATCATACCATGACAAAGTCCCTGAAGATGACGTAGAAGAGGACTTGATGTCTGATGGTCTTAGACTTGCTCAAGACTTCATGGACATGTTGGCATCTGACAAAGTTGCTTTTACACTGGCTTGGTGTTATTTGTTAAACCTACTAAAACAAAAAGACAAGTAAGATTTTTTTACACCAAAATGTTTTCATGTGAAGCAAGGCTGTTAATAATTTTTTTGATAAAGCAGTTCATTTGATTTCATATTTCAGGCAATTTGTTTGTCAATAATCCAGTTTCGAGTTCTCTGTTGCTCGGTGTTATCCTTGACTCTGTGCAAAATATTCATGTGTTTCAGTGTAGGTCTGTGGAATTTCAAAGTATTTGTATTCTTGAAGTTGTAGTATTTGTATTCTTGAAGTTGTGCATTCTTTACTGTACTGTTGGTATTTGTGAGTATTAAGGTACTGATTCAAGGCTAACCCTGAGTAAATGAGTCTGTAATCAAAGATTACAGCAGTAATTTGGAGAAAAGTGTAAAGTGTAGGTCTGTGAAATTTCGAAGTATTTGTACTTTTGAAGTTGTGCATTCTTTACTTTTTTTTTGGTATTTGTGATTATTAAGGTACTGATTGAGGCTAACCCTGAGTAAATGAGTCTAATCAAAGATTACAGCAGTAATTTGGAGCTCAAAAAAGGACAATTGTCAAATTTAATTTCATCCAAATTGTTTGTCAATTGTCACATCTAATTTCATGCAAATCTTTGTCATAATATATGCTTTATGGTAGTTATTTTTCTTCATTTTTCTTCAAGGCAATCTGTGCTACAAGCCCTGCCGTGGTTTGTTTCCCCTTGCCAGGCAAGACCACTTGAAGAAATAGAGCTGCACCAATTTGTAACATCTCTAATGTCAATACAAGATGAGTTAGCCACCAGCGATTTCTCTAATGCAGTTTTTGACGACTTCCTTCTTGGCCTAACTTCACAGACTGCTTCCATCAGACATACACTACGCATACTCTGGTTCATTCATCATAAAATGGACTCGCATAAAGTTGTTCAGATTTTAACAGCAACTCAACCAGGAAGTGAAGTAAGTAGGGCTTCTGAAGTCACAGGGTAATAAACATTCATATTAGTTTCAGGGCTGGTTTACTCTTAGATACTGTATCTAACCTCTGGGGCCTTGAGTTTGATTCCTGGACTGAACATTGTATCATGTCATCATTCCATCCGTCCATCCATTCTGGCCGGTGTATACTATAGCTGTGCAGGGCTTAAAATATTGGTTTGTAAGTGACCAGTCAAATTAGTTTTAGCATGGTCTACCTTGTTTCTGGCTCAAGGTTTCTGAAAGATTTGACTGGACAAGTACCAATATTCTGGGTAGACATGGTGCAATGTCCAGCCGTCGGGTATTAAAAAATGGTTGGGTTATATCTCGCAAGATTCTGGGGCGATCTGTGATTGAAACTTATTTATTATATTTATTTATTTATTAGCTATTCCTATGACATCTCACTGACATCCCACATCCATTATCTGGGTGGGTGAACAGGGAGGGGAGGGGGGAGGTCGGTAGTGGGTTAGTGATATTCCTAATTACTTCTAGCTATTTCAGCTAGAGTAAGAGTTGATAATAAACCATGCTAGACAAAAAACATAGGGAATTCAAATTGGCCACTTTAGAAACTAGTGAAAGACTGGGAATGAGTATATAGAAGGTATTGATGATTAATCTCATTTTAAAAAATGTTTCCATGAAGAGAAAGATCACATCAAAATTAACAGGTTTCTGCAGTTTCAGCAATCAAAAATTACAAAGAAATGTTTGTTTACTGGGTAAAAGCATCCCCAGCAACCATACAGTACATTTCTTTGTCATTTTTGAGATGTTTGGGAGATTGCTTTGCAAAAGGTATGAAAGTACCCAAAATCTTGAAACTCCAGAAATTTACTAATTCCTATGTACTCTTTCTTGTTATGGTGTTTCTTTTTTAGTAGGTTAATTCTAAAACCTTGTTCCCAGCCGTAACTTCATTTCTAAAGTGGGCAATAGTCCCCTTCACGGTTCCCTGCGCCATCTTGAAAGGTAGCTGGGCCTTTGCATCAAAGGGAGATGAATGTTGAGGTTGCAATGATAGAAACCTTTTTTTAACACCTTGGACAATTATTCACAGGTTTCTATCATTGCAAGCTCAACGTTCGTCTCGCTTCTATGCAAAGGCCCGCCTACCTTTCAAAATGGCGCAGGGAACCGTGAAGGGACTATTGATCACGTAATTATTTTTCTTGCAGCATCCAGAGGCAATCCATGAACTGCATGCAGCACTGGTTGATCGCATTGCAAATGCTAACCCATCCACTCCTTCCCAAGATCAAGCATCGTCTGTTTCCTCTCTGGGGTCGTCATCAAGCAGTCCACTAGAATACATACCTCCAGCAAGTTCATAATAACATGTATTAGTTTGCATTATTAAAGTGTCTGTCACCCTTCTGACAATATTCACAGTATTGATTCTACATAAGGTAAGATGTTGAATAACCAGAAAAAGTTTCATAGCTTGAGTGCTGCTTCTAGTTGAAGTTATAAAGTTTTTTCCATGCCATATGCTAATGGTGTGACCTATGAGGAGGCACTTATGGTTATTTTTGTTCCTTGTAATTCGAGACACTGGCTCTAGAATCAATACTGTGAATATTGTCAGAAGGGTGATAGGCTCTTTAGACACTAGTATGAATATATTCTGTATCTATACTATCATATTGACCTATTATTTAGTCAAAGTTTATCTATTTTAATACTATAAAAAGAAAGCTAAGATATTTAAACAAGCAGAACTGTGGCTGCAAATATTTTTTGGATAAGCAGATTTTTTTGTCAGGCCAGAGATAACAAGTTAAAAGTTACATAATAACATTTTTGCATCTCTAAGTTGATTTAAAATGTTCATTTTTGGACTTTTTGGTTGGATTTTAAAGTAAAAGGGACTATGGATGTACAATTTCATGAACTCAATGACATCATAGCTGTCTCAAATATATACGTTTGAGATGCTTTTGAATTTTATTGATTGACATCAATTTATGTCCATTGCAAAATAATACACCATGAGAAATATTTGTCGCTCAACATAAATTTCCTGAATTTCCTGAATCCTGAAACACTACACCGTGAGAATTATTTTTCGCTTCACATAAATAATTGTCAAAAAAAAAAAAAAAGAAAAAGAAAAAGTGCATATATAACTTTTAAACTGTTGGTATATTTTGGCCTGTCAAAACACAAGTGTGACTTGTAAAAAATTTTTATCGGATATTTCATCAATAAGCAAGCTCAATTGGCTATTTCTTTACTTGTATTGTGATAAAATTAATGTGTCTGGTCAAATGTCTGGCCAAGGAAAATCATTTGCCCGTCAAGTGGTCATTTTTACTGGATAAATATTGTCTGAGGCACTTATTTGCATCCTTGTGCTTAGTGGGTTATTTGTCTCAGAGAATGTTGTGTGCAGTGGGTGTCCGCAGCTGTGGTGTACAATGAATCACACTAAAATGGTTTTAAAAAAAGCATAAGTCTGTCATAGACAATTATTATGTTCAAGCAGGGGCAGATCAAATGTTTTACTATTATCCTTAGTAAACAACCCCTTCCTTTTCCTTGCATTCCTGCTAAAACTTTTGTAATAGTCACCCCTTTCTAAAATTCCTGGATCCACCACTGTGGAATACATGGCTGCATGGTTTGATGCGACCCAGGTGACTCATAACCAATATACATTAAAAAAGTGTAAAATTCAAGTTTTTGAGACTGGAAAGGCAATAAACTGTATTGTATGAAACACTGTGATGTTATTTGTTTGTATTTTTACTTTTTCAAAAATATCTCCCATTATATCTATTTTCTTACAAGAAGCTGTATGTGGAAAGGAAGAATGGAAACGATTTCTCTTTACTGCCATGTTTGCTTCGTCCTTTCCACCTCCAAAAATGCTTGGGGTCAGTCATTTTGTCCACTCATGCTTTGCAGGCCATTGTTCACAGCTCAGCTGGAAGTAAAGGAATTTCACTGAGACATAAGTGCACTGCACTGCTACATGAACCTTGATTGCCATTAAAAGGATTAAAATGAACAATGTTGAAATTAATTGACAGTTATTATGTTCTAATAAAATCACAATTTTGAGGTAGATAGAGTGCATGCACTAAACCCGTGAAACAAATACTAACTTTTAGTACTAAATGGTGATAAATATACAATAGAAAACAAAGGATTCTGTATGAAATAGAGTAGTATAGGGAATGGGGGTTCCAGCGCAATCTCAACACGGGCAAGATCCGTATCAAAAATCCACCTACGGACGACCCCCACTCCAAGTGTGGTTGAGGGCAACAGCGCACTTAAATATGTTAGTCTATATATGGAGTGCGAAGAATGTAAGAAGTTCGCC